GGGGGGGGGGGGTATGAAAACGCTCTGAACGCACAGAAGATGGACCCCGCCTACCTGCTCCGAGATCAGTACTATGAGGAGGATCGTTGGGTGTTTTCTCGAGATGAGTTGGACTGCGCAAGCTTGCTGCTGGCTCGGGCTCAAGAGGATAGGGGGTGGCGATCGCGGAATTGGGTAGTGATGCTTCGCTGTCGGGCAAAGGCAGCTAGTGCTAGCCGCGATGTCATCATCAGCGAAGGGGCACGTGGTTCAAGCGTTGCGAATTATGGGCTAGAAGAACGACGCAAGATAGCGAGGGGGGAGAATGAGGCAATCTTCGGGGGTGGGGTGCGCTTGCAGGGGAACGGCGAGAGTGGGTGCGGAGGCTTTCCACACCCTGTACAAATGCAGTATTTGGTAGAGATGATAGGGAATCAACTACTTTCCTGAAAAGCTGCGCAACTTTTTGGTTCCAGTCAACTATTGTTTTGAAAAGCTGAGCAACTGTTTGATTGCAGTCAACTATTTTCCAGAACTGTTGGTAACTATTTGGTTCCAGTCAACTACTGTTTTGAAAAGTTGCGCAAGTATTTGGTTCTTGTCAGCTGCTGTCTTGAAAAGCTGCGCAAGTGTTTTGTTCCAGTCAACTGCTTTCTTGACAAGCTGCGCAACTATTACTATTGGTTCCACTCAACTACTCCCGGAGGCACCTCTTTGTCAACTATTTGTGTGTGCAATGACAACTATTTTTGAACATTTTGTGCTTGAACGTGAGGGGGCGGGGGATTGGAGGGAGCTCAGCCTGATGTCATTGGATGGAAGATTAAGATTGGTTCCGGAAACGTGCATCCTCGAATCAATAGTGCGTGCATGTATCTGAGCCACCGTCATCGAGACGCAAATCAACAAGATAAGTCAATCGAAGCGACAAAAAAAACAATTGAGCTTTGCCCCGACTTGTATATTACATTACGTCCATCATCATCGTTTACGCGAATTGAAGCCACCCAGAACGAAGAAGGATAAATTACAATAGACCAACCGACCACCATCCCGGTAATCCTCTCGTGATTAGAGACCACGGTCGTCGCGTGGCCACCAAGTATCGGCAAAGATCAACGATCTACCCACGACCTCTCGGCAGCCAGCTCGTTCTTGCGGCCGGCCTGACCGCCATCAAACGCAACCGCGCCACCCTTCCCCATGCTACTGCTCCAAGCTCTTAATCCGACGCCTCCTCATCGGTGAGGTCCACCGGCGCGAAAGCGCCGTCGAGCTGCTCCAGCCCCTCGACGGGGTTCGCCAACCGCCCGGGGATCTTCGATCGTGCAACAGCCTCGGTCAGCTTGGTGATGTCCTCGGGGATGAGGTCCAGGTTCCCGTGCAGGAACAGAATCATCTCCACGTACGTGCTGTCCATGGTGCGCCTGGAGGAAGTCATCATTCGCCCAGCATTGCTGAAATCACGCTCGAGCACTGCCGCTGATGCAGGAGCCCCGAAAACCACGCGTGCAACCCTAGCCAGAAGCGGGTAGACGTGGGCCCACATCTTCCACCACTTGAGCACATCCTCGCAACTCAACCCGGCCGCGAGACNCTCCACGTACGTGCTGTCCATGGTGCGCCTGGAGGAAGTCATCATTCGCCCAGCATTGCTGAAATCACGCTCGAGCACTGCCGCTGATGCAGGAGCCCCGAAAACCACGCGTGCAACCCTAGCCAGAAGCGGGTAGACGTGGGCCCACATCTTCCACCACTTGAGCACATCCTCGCAACTCAACCCGGCCGCGAGACTGCCGCCCTGGACAGCCCTCAGCTTGGTGAGCTCGGCGCGAGCAGTCTGCTCGAAAGACGGCGGCTCCTCGTTCTGCCCGTCACCCCCTGGACCAAACAGGCCGAGGCTGGCATATATGTTTGTAGTCGCCTCCTCCCTCTTGTTGACGGGGGCCTTGAACAGGGGGTGCACGCTCCAGGGAGCAGCCGCTTGACGAGCACGTTTGGCAGCGGGCTCATCGGCAGCAGCAGACCCGGCAGGCGTCGTTGATCCATTCCCCGTGTGGAGTGCCGCTGCCTCCGCCAGCTTCACAGCCAAGGAGATGACCTTGTCGGTGATGGTCGACTTGGTCAGCACCACCGAACGCTGACGTTGACGCGAGCTTGCCCACGTACCGCAGGTCAGCCGTGGTCGGGTGGAAGGTTATCTGCATATCGAGCACATAGTCCGTGTCTTGGCTCTCGGCGCTCTTGCAGCGCTTGTCGAACCACCGCCAGTCAACGGACTTGCACATTTGCTGGCGAGTACCCTTGGCCACGCCAGTCAACAAGCTGTGCTCGCGGGTAGTGCTGGTGGCCGGTCGCTCCCCGCCACCAATGCCGCTTGCCCCGGCCTGAGCCAGCTTGCGCGCCGGGGTCAAAATCTCGAGCGGGGAGTCGACGTGGAGCGTAGTGAGCTTCAGCGCCGCCAGGGCAAGCACCGCAACTTGCCCGGAAGGGACAGATGTCTGCTGGCACTTGACGATGACTTGCGCGACCGGCTTGATGATGGATTACAACTCGTCGATCTCGTTAGTCAGGGACGTGAGCGGACTGTCCTTGCCTTCCGTCGTGTACACGGCGTTCACGGCTGCACGGTTGACGATGACCGCCTCCAAGACGTTTGTCACCCCTGACCACCGCTGGGGTGCGGCGTTAACCAGCTTGCGGTGGTAACACTGCGCGTACTGCCTGACCTGCTCCTGCTCGAAGATGGCCTGTTTTGTGGGGGGGGGACGGGGGGGGGGCGGGAGGGTGGCGTGTTTCGACACGTGAGGAATTCTGAATACGTAATTCGCGGGGTGGTGCTCGCACGACAATTCAAACATCATGAGAAGTACGCGAGTAATTCGCAGATAACTCTTGTGAAAACAAGCATTGACACCTACTGGTACGTGAACCACTCGTAATCGTTGGTAGTGCTACACCACCACAACCAATCACCACGGCAAAACTGACCTTCGCTCTGGGAGATTTGTGGATGTACTCCACAACCTTTTTCACCGTCGTGATCACTTTGTGTGCACCGGGGGTTTATCGACTTGGCCGGATTCACGTGCGTACCGAACGCCTGTCATCCAGGACGTGAGCGAGGGGGATCAATCAATCTCAATAATTTTTTTTGTATTTGTGGCGCAAAGGACAGGCAGCACCACGAACGATGTCTCGTCCTACACCCCAACAAGCGCGTCTACGCATTCGTGCCTCTCGCTCGTTTCTTACGCTGTACTACATACTACTGCTGCTACGCACATCTCCTTTCAAAACTCAGCTGACGAAGCAGTCGTAGCTCACGGTTCAGCACACTTTTTGCCTTTCACCAAAAACGACGACCGAAAACCCAGGACTTGCGTAGAACGCATGCATCGCCAAAACTGGGTACCGCGGAAAACCACCACCATCGCAACCTCACCTCGACCAACGCGCAGTTGATCATGTGGCACACACACCACTCCCACAGCCCCGGCAGCAGTACGTCGCACAGTCGCTTCACGTCGCTGCCGGCGTCGCTTGTCGCAGAGAAGAGAAGTGACACGTCGAGGCCGTACTCCTCAAGCACGCTCTCGAGGTACTTCTGCAGAAGAGCCGAGAGGCGATTGTCCTCAAGCAGCTCCTTGGTGGGGTTGAACTGTCGAACTGCGATGAGGCGAGACCTCAGCACCCAGGTCCGGTCGACGTAGAACAACCGAATACCTGGAGAGAACAAGAACGAGCGCGAATCAACGAAGAGAGGAAACAAAATAAGATAANGTTGAACTGTCGAACTGCGATGAGGCGAGACCTCAGCACCCAGGTCCGGTCGACGTAGAACAACCGAATACCTGGAGAGAACAAGAACGAGCGCGAATCAACGAAGAGAGGAAACAAAATATGATAATTATTATTGGCGAGAATGGCACATGTCGATCTTCACAACCGTTGTCGAGCAGCAACCTCGCTTTTTGTCTTTTCGAAGCGACGAAACTAAAACAAGTGGCGTGCACGGAGAGATGGTACCTCAGCTACAACAACAAGTTCTCAGCTGCTGGTCACGCGTTTTATCTTACCGATGTACTTCAAACTCGAGAACTTGTCCACCCATAGGTCGAGGTTGAGGTGCAGAAGCCGCATGCCGCCGATCTGGGCAGCCATCTCCATCTTGAACTGGGAAGCGGTCGCGGCGTACATCTCGACGACCATCTGCTTGACGGCCTTGTTGTGGATGCCAGTGATGGGGAAGTTCTTGAGAGCTGTCAGCTGCAAGCTCGCTCGGACCCACTCCTTCTCGCCATGAGACAACGGGCAGAAACCCTGGATGATGTTGCACTTGACCCAGTTCATGGCCAGACACCGCGGATGGTCTTGGGTGTACATGTCAGATGACACCGCCTTCAACACCCGCAAGTCCAGTCGGTTTGTCTTCGCCTTCGCGGCTACAGTCTTCTTGGAAGTCGCTGTGATGGTTCAACACAAAATAAAATGTCGGTAGGTGTTTGTTTTGTGATTTTAGTTTCAATACTTTTGTCTTTTGCACAATACAATCGTAATGAAAAAAATAATGTGCGGTGGATTGCGGACGGCAACAAACAAAAAAAATATGAAGAAGTGTGTGGAATGTGGAATGTACATACAATATAAAACACCCATTATGTTGTTGTTGTTGTTGTTGTTGTTGTTGTCTTCACATAAAAATCATCCCGGTCTCTATCCAGTACCTCCTTCTGTCTCAATCTCTCCGTACTAATCCAGCACTTGACTCGGTCAATTTCCGTGGTCACAGGCTAACGTACCTAGAAAAGGTATACCAAAATGAAATGGACCCCAAGGGTTAGCAGAGCGACAAAATACAAGAAAATAAAAGAATCAGAAACAAACAAATAAATAAATAGTGGAACGTGCGCACCACCAGCCTGGGGGGTAACCTTCCGGAAGGACCCCTAGGGTCAGCAGTACGTGCCAGTAAAACAACAAAACAAAATAAAACGAAATAAACCAAAGACAGACGAGGACATAAACAAACTCGCACAGAGACAGGGATATCCGTAGAGACAGTCTGAACGCGACAGCAAACGGGGGACAGGGCAACAGAAAAACTAGTCGCTGAAATTCAACCGCAACATGTCACGTCACGCGGTCGGTCTCTTCTCGCTTGCTTTCTTCCCGCGCCGTTTCCTCCCGCCCCCCTCCGCCCCGTTGTAGCTATAGTGAGGGGACAATGCAAGGATACAGTGCACATAGACCCGACCCCTAACCAGTACCCGAACCCCCCCTGAAATATAGAGGCCATGCGCCCCCCCCCCCC